TTTTTGCTTGCAGGAATGCTTTTTTGCCATTTCATCTCTTCCCATTTCTGCCTTTCTAGTTTGAGACACTCTTTAATTTCTCCATGTGTTTGAGGATATTTTAAAGAGCTGTAATACTGAAAAGGTAAAGTATTCAGTTTTCACTCTTCGTCGATATCGTCGATTGAGTAAAACGAATAGATAAAGTCTCCAAGTTCTTTTGCAGTTGGTCTGTTTACTGAAATAGGATCCCAACATTTTTCAATAATAAATTTGCACCATTCGGGAGTATTATTTGATAGCTTTGGTCGTATTCCTTTATAGATGTCGTGCACAAGATAAAAATCATGGCTCCGTTCACCAAATGGTCGTTCACCTGTTACAACTTCGTATATAATCATTCCAAAACTGTAAATATCTGCAGCTTTAGTATATGGCTTTCCATTTAGCACCTCTGGACTCATATAAGGAAGTAACCCGTAAATAGTTTTGCCGGTAAATCCAAAATCGGCAATGAAAGCATCAATATTTAATAATATATTTCCAGGGTGAAACTCACAATGCACAAGCTCCTCTTCGTGAATTTTTCTCAGACCACTGATAATATAAATTAAATAACTTAATTTTTCTCCCCAAGTTAATTCTTCGTAGTTGGAAGTAATATATTTGTGTATATCGACGTCTTCTATCGAGTATTCATATTTTGTATGATGGGTTATTCAAAATATGAATACGTGATAGCAAGGGATTACTATCGAGTATTAATTCGTAGCTGGATTTTTAGTTATTCCATAATAACTTATTCCAAAGTAAGCGTCACTGAACTTTAGAGCAGTCTGAAGCTATTTTTGAAAATCTTATTTGGATTGGAAAACAAAAAAGCAACTTCTTTAAATTGTTCATTCTTACCTCTTTTATAAGCTGCGTTGAATCACGTAATTTCAACACAACTTCACATTTATCTTCTTCAGCTTGTTTAAATATACTTTCTCCGTGATCTCACTTGTATCTGTGCAACAATGCTTTAAAAATTCGCCCTTTTGCAAATATTCAACATTGGTAAATTTTTCAAAAGGGATACATTTGAAATGCCTTCTAATTTTCATGTATTCTTTTATTAGACTATCGATATCTTTATTTTCGCTAGACCATTCAGCTTTATAAAGTTGATAGTGAAAATTGAAACATTCACGTTTCCTTGACAACGAGTGCATTTATTACAATCATGAACTTGTAGCTTTTCTTGTAAGACACTTGATGTCTCTTTATTCTTTTTAATTTCATCTAAATGTGTTTGGAATCGTCAGAGAAAAATTAATAATGAATAAAAAGAATATTAAATCGTGAGTTTACCTTCATTTGCTTCGTTTGGAACATACAAACTGACACTTTTAAATCCTAAATAAATTTTAATATGAATATCAAATGTCAATATGATTTATCGTTATATTTAAAAATATAAAGTATCTGTATCAGTTGGAATTGAAATCAACTTTGAAGTAAACATTCGACTGGTGTAAACTGCATTTGAGTGGATTTGTTGTTTTTGATTATATTTGTAGGAATACTTTTTTGATATTTCATGTCCCCATCAAGTTCTTTTATTTTCTGATTTTCTAATTTAATAGACCGGATAATTTCTTCATTACTTAAAGAACTGTAGCACTGAAATGCAAAGTGACCAGTTTGTTGTGTTCGCTGGAAGAGAATAGACGGATAAACCAATCAAGTTCCAAAGCGGTTGGTCTGTTTTCTGGAATAGGATCCCAACATGTTTCAACAATAAATTTGCAACATTCGGGAATATTATTTGATATCTTAGGTCGTACTCCTTTATGGATATCTAATACAAGATTTGTATCATGACTCCGCTCACCGAATGGTCGTTTACCAGTCACAATTTCGTACATAACCATTCCAAAACTATAAATATCTGCAGCTTTATTGTATGGATTTCCATTTAGCACCTCTGGACTAATATAAAGAAGAACTCCGCAAATTTCTTGATTAGATTTTTCTGTATCTGCTGGACCAGCAAGTCCGAAATTTGCAATCTGATGAGTTGATAATGCAATAATATATTTCCAGGGTGAAAGTCACGATGCACGAATCCCTCTGCGTGATTTTTACACAGATTCTGGATGATCTCAAATGTGTTAATTTTTCACCCCAAGTCAATTTTTTGTAGTTGGAATTAATATAATTGCGAAGATCCCCATTGCTTGCATAATTCATTACTATCAAGCATTCATTCGTATTTTGGTTTTTAGTTATCCCATGATATTTAAAAAGAGTGTCACTACAATTTAGAGCTACCTGAACCTATTTTTGAAAAACTTAATTATTAGAAAACAAAAGAAAAAAACGCCATGCTTACCTTAGAAACAATTCATTTTACCTCGTTTATAAAGTCTAATGTAATTTGCTTTGAATTGTGTAATGATTTCAACACAACTTTCCCCACGTCGTTTAAGCTTATTTTTTTCATGATTAAATGTTCCAGTGAATGGTCCATCTAACCAGAAAGCTTTATAAATCGATCCAAAACCTCCTCTTGCAAGATATGCAACATTGGTGAACCTTTCAAAAGGGATCCAATCAAAATGCGCATCAATTTTCGCACATTTTTTTTATTAAATGGTCGATATCTTTATTTCCAATAAACGATCCATAAATTCGTTTGTTAAAATTGAAACAGAGACTACAATCCTTATTCTCTTGACACTTGGTGCATTCACTACAATGAGCAGTAAACACGATCGAATATTTATTTATAGCTGGGTTTTTAGTTATTCCATAATATTTTATTTCATTGCACTTTAGAGCAGTCTGAATTAAATTTTGAAAAAGTTAATTAGAATGAAAAACAAAAAAGCAACATGTTTACACTTAAAGATGTTCATTTTACCTCGTATGATTTCAATACAACTTTGCGGTCTTCCTTTAGTTTAAATCTATTCTCTACATGATCCCACTTCTCGTAGTCTTTCTGTGTTGCTTTATAAATTGAACCAAAACCTCCTTTTGCAAGCCATTATACATTGGTAAATCTTTCAAAAGGGATCCATTCAAATAATTTATATTTATCAATATTATGGCATTCATTTATTAAACTGTCGATATCTTTATTTCCACCAGACCATTCAAAATAAATTTGTTTGTGACAATCGAAACATCTTTCACATTTTTCATTTTCTTGACAATGCCTGCATTTACCACAATCATGAGTACCTATCACTATCGAGTATTTATTCGTAGCTGGATTTATAGCTATTCCATAATATCTTAGTCCACCGTAACGAATATACTTTAGAGCAGTCTGAATCTAATTTTAAAAAGTTAATTAGAATGAAAAACAAAAAAGCAATATGCTTACATATAAACTCGGATGTAATTTGCTTTGAATTGTGTAATGTTTTTACCACAACTTTGCGGTATTCCTCCTTTTGCAAGATATTCAACATTGGTGAATCTTCAATAGGGATCCATTCGAATACTTTCCCGTTATTAATGTTATTGCATTTTTTTATTAGACTGTCGATATCTTTATGACCATTCACCATAAATTGTTTGCGATATAGAATACACCCGAAGTTTTGATTGGCTGAGGATATTAAAGGTTAGTTTTAGCGTTAGGATTAAGAGTTAGAGTTAGGAGTAGAAGAAAGATTATATGTAAAATTGTCTCACCGGCATTTATTATTAGTGCTTCAAGCCAGGTTTACCCATTAGTTTTCCGTATTTTTCACATTCATTATTCGCCTTTTTAATTTTCTTATGTCGGATTTGTTTTGCCGGGTTGATCAAAAATTTATGCATATTTATTGGTTAATTTAGAAGACCCGGTGTGCAGTCAACCAATCAGCGATGGAAATTACTTGTATCCAATCACAACTTCGGGTGAAAATTAGTAAATGCAATACTACAATCATGAGTGTGAGTATTGTGAACTGAACACGCTTTGCAGTAGCCATAGTCTCGACATTCACTACTATCATGAGTTTTAGATGACATCTTTGAGTTTATTAGTGATTATGGCAGTGTTTTATTTAAAAAATGATGATTTATATGTGGTGTGGAAGTCATCGTTCATTTGTGTTTATAAACGATTTATGCATGAAAAATGATACGGGAACACGACGTGCATTAAATAAAGAAGAATAAAAACGTGAATAAGTAATTTATACATGTACAGTCACCATCGATTAATACACATTACCCACCCTCTACGTATATGGATTCAATATCGCGTCGATTCCTTACGGCAAAACTAATACATTAAATTTTGTCTATGCTTCCTTCAGTGAACTTGTTCACAGTTTTTGAAAAGCTTTTACACTTTAGAATAAATACTGTTCTACAATGGTTTCTATGAGAATACGTTAATTGGGTTAGGGTGAAACGCCATGTTTTTTCGAATTAATAATACAATATACATGTACATGTAATTAAATTGTGTTAAAATAATTTTAAAAATAAAAAAGTATTATTTTTGAGAAATATACAAAATAAATAGATGATAATTTTTACGTACAATAATGGAAAAGATTTATTCTGATTGATACCTTATTCGAGTGGAAATAAAGGTTTTGTGTTCTCTTGTACATTTATTTTATACTTGTAAAAATATTTCAGGAACATAGCGTTCCAAAGTACTTTTCTTCACACGCTCTACACTTGATAATGTCAGCAGCTACCATTTCCTCACAAGTACTGGAAACCTGATATGCAATGCACATCAATCTCACCATTCTCATTTCCCGTTACGACACATGTCACAAATTTACTCGAGAATTCCCGGAGGCGCTCAGTTTCGTGACATTGGAATTTTTAGTTGGCATCGCGGGCGGCAGAGAAACAGCATTCTTGGGAAGAAAGAAAATAAGAGTCAATGTGTCGCTTGCAAATTACTTTCCCTTGACCTGCATCCATAAGATCTTATGATTATTCGAATTGTAATATTTTTAATATCAATTAGAATTAGCGAATGTTCTATTGGTCTATTCGTAATTTCAAAAATCTCACTTTGAATAATCCACAAGCGGCAGCTCCCTCGTCGACTGACTCTTCTTCATTTCATGGGAGACTGAGACTTGATCCATCCGTTTGGTTTCCTGTGATAGCTCATAAATCGCCTCCACAACTGCTTTTATGCCTAATAGAACATCAGGATAAGACTCACACCGTTCATATAAATATCCAAACCGTTGATATCCAGTAGATCGCTGAAAATTAATGAAGTCATTAATGAGATTCGATGTCGAAAATTCAATATGATCAACTATATGAAATTGCTACAAAAGTTATAAAATCAATCAATTAATCGAATCAATAAGAGGAATGCAGTTAATGTTGATTGTTCTCTTACTTGTTGTAATGTCACTGCACTCGGTTGACAGTTTGAATAAATATCTTCCGGCCAAGGAGTATGACCATTCAAGCAACGCTTCTTGACACGGTAATCTGGTTCCTCTACATATCTTTTGCACTTTTCGTAAATAAATATTCATGAAAAAACATATGTTTGATCAGATTTTCTGCCAAATAATTAGCATCGTATGGCTAAATCAATATAAAATTAATGTTATCAGGACAAATTGCACATGCCATGTATAGAATGCTTACAGCTAAATACCGAATATAAGGAAGAAATAAAATTAAAAAACCAGCTATAATCAGCAAGAATAAAATTGCAACAATATAAATAACAAGTTCTAAACTATTCATAAGTTTTATTTAATATTTTTTATTATTTCTTTTAAATCAATAATTTTGTTTAATTTTTGATCTAAAAAGAAAGAGAAACCAAATTAAAATTTATAATTGTAACTTTTTGAAAAATTAACACATATATTTATATTGAGTTTTGATAAACTAAGATAAAATAAATCCAAATAACAAATTTATACTATCAAAATTATGATAAATTATTAGATTATATTTGTTATCATTATGATTAAATTTGTTATTATTATACTGCAATCTGAAGTTGATAAGAGCAAGATTATATGTATCTAAAATTGCATGCTGAGAATTTTTTCTTAGTTACTCTAAAGATAATTGGTTAAAAAAGATTTTTTACATTAATTTATTGTTTTAATTGATAAATCTTAGTTTAAAATATGGTATAAAAATGCAACTTGTTGAAAAAATTAATTCATATTTTTTTTTGTACAAAAACAAGAGCAAAATTATATTTGTATTATTTAACCTGATTTTATCCAAGATAAAATCTACTCTTTTTGACAAGTACTAATACTAGTATATTAAACAAAAAAATAATTAATTAAATTTATAAATTACATTTATGTAAAAAATTAATGATTATAATATAATAACTATTACTATAATAATAATGATAATGATAATTTAAGATAAAAATTATATTGATATAGAAAAAATAATATATTTGATATATTGATTAATAGTTATTTAATCAATATAATACTACTATCATTATCAAGTCAAATATTATAATATATAATATATAAAAATCTAAATTCATCAAATATTTGTATTTTATAAATTGTATAACTTCTTTATTAAGAAGTAATACAAAATTTAATTTGTAAATATGATAAAATAGATCTTTTCTAGGCATATTTACAGATTAAATTTTGTATTTACTTCTTAGTAAAGAAATTTATACATTTTATAAAATACAAATATTTGATAACTTTAGATTTTATACACCATAACAATAATAATTAATAATAAAATATTATTCTTTAACAATGAATAATCACAATATTAATCTTATCAATATAAAAAATTTGCATTTGAACTCTTATATTTAATTATGTTATGAATTTATACAAACCTTCTCAAATTATCTTCTCATATATAACAGAATAAATGCTATTATTCAAGTAATTTTTTATTTATCAAGAACTATAAAATATCAAACTCAAAATCAAAATCAGGCTAGTGAAAAAGAATGAAACCATAAAAGAGAATTTAAGATTAAATATTATTTTATTTGTCTATTCATTTGAATTTGATTGCTAAATGATAGAATAATA